ATTTATTGATCTACAAATATACAATAAATATACTTTCTGTGATTTCATTACCAAAGTAAAGTATTGTGTCCATTGAACCAGCTGGCAAATACACCATCTATTAGTCGTTTGGAACAGTCTTTTTAAATTTTCTATAAAATGCTTACTTTTATTAGCAATGAGCCAGAATTTGAGATAATTGTTACTTGTTGACATTCACCATCAACACCAGTATATAAGCCTGAGCAAGTATATTGTTTCATTCCTAATTTTGAAGAGTAAAAAACAAAACTTTAAAAAAAATATATTCATTTAACCATTCATTAGGATTCCTTTAAACTGCATAACTAAGGGTACCCCCTTCATTAAATTAGCATAATTTTGGGTAGAAGATTCAATTTTGTTGTAAGAAATCATGATTTTCTTTATATAAATTGATATTTTGATTGTTAATTAAAAATAAAAGATTTGTTACCTACTCATATATATGAATTAATTAAAATCTTAGTTTCGTTATTACAAAATAAAAATTTTACATAGGCTTATTTGAACTCACCAAAATAACATATAAGATTAACAAAATACTAATTTAGTCATGGGATGCTTATTTTCCATTATTTTACTATTTTTTTAAGCATTCATTAATTCAGGTTATAAATAATTACAATTATTAGATAACTTCATAATAAACTATAGATTTTATGAATAATTATTAATTAACATAAACATAACCATTATTTGGTATCTATATTTAAACATTAATAAATTATAAGAAAAAATGTTCACTATATACATATAATTTATTGTGAATTACAAATATAAATTATATCAATATAACCAATAGTATAATGATAATAACTTAACAAATAGCGAGATAATTCAATATAAATTATACTAATTATTACAATAAAATAGCTAATAAACTTAATAATAATAATAATTAAAAAAATAAATAAAAGCAAAATTTGGTGAAACATAATAAAATAATTTTCAGAAATATATAAAATCATGTGAATAACCTATTAAATTAAGTTAAATATTAAACTCAATAATATTATAAATTTTGAACTAAACAAATAATTTGACTATTTGTTTTTGGATAATCAGTTAGTTTAATAAGAAAGCAACCATAAAAATTTATCAAATTTATACTTCTATTCGTTAAAGAAGTTTATAAGATACTATTATGATAAAGGAAAGAAATTATTTAATAGATCTAATTTAATTACAGATGAGATTCTAATTTTATTAAAAATATGATTCAAATATAATATATATATATATCAATTTTTATTGGTTTATTTTCATTAATAAACATATTAACAATATTGAAATTTGAAATCTCATAATTATAAATCATAATTAAGTTTCCTCTTAATTAAAAATAAAGTATGAATAAAAGGTGTGATTTTGTCAGTTACCATTAACTTTTATGTTTATAATGAATCTTATTGATTTTTTTTGATCAGGAAAAAGTGTAAAATAATATATATCAACGTGATTTATCATTAATTAATAATATGAATTATTATATATATCATATTGTCATTTAGTGTATTTATATTTATTATTTGAATCACATGTTTGGAATTGTGCCAAAGTTATAGCAATATGTTTGTGCATGGAATTTTTGGCCAGCTTTTATGAAGAAATTCATAATGAGTGAAAAAGGTCCTTTCACAATCTTTTTCTGGACTCCATTAGCCAAATGGGGAATTTCTATTGCCAACATAGGAGACATGCGTAAACCAGTTGAATAAGTTAACACTCTTTAATAATGCGTTATTGCCTGGACTGGATTATTATTCACAAGGTATAAAATATATATATAATGAACTATAGATGGTGTTTCATAATTAGACCAAGAGTTTATAGTTTAGTCCTTTGCAATTTTTGCATGGCTCAAACTGGATTATATCAGCTTTACAGAAAACAGTATTTAGTTAATTTATTTTTAGTTAACAAGGAAAACTATTTACAAGATGAATTAAATATAAATATTAAAATATATTATTTAAAGTAATCTATTATAATATATGAATTTTACAAATGATACAAGTTATCATACTACATTCTAGTTATTTAAGATTTACAATACAAATATAAAGATTTCTTCGAAATTTTCATGATTAAAGATTTGTTAAATGATTTACATATAAAAATATTAAAAAGCAAATAATAATAATTCAATTGATAAAGCTTAAATTGAAAAGTAAATTTTGAGAGGTTATTAATATATAATTCTTGTATTTTGGAATGATTAAATTAATTTGATGAACATTTATATAAATAATCATTAAAAACAAACTATTGATTTTAAATTATGTTAAATTCTATTTTAGTAAACTAACAGAAATTTGTAGATTTTGAATAAGTGATTTAACAGATTTAAAAACGATATAGCAAAAAGGTTTTAGGCATTATTATTATTAATGAGAACAGTTCTTTTGGTGATTTTACTCTTAAGTGTAGCTTCTGCTGCTGCATCAAAGAATAGGTTTGATTACTCCAAAAAGAGATCTATAACATCAGTTATGGCTGAAGTTGAAGCTAAGATTTAAACAAAAGCTCCATTAGATGCTATCTTAAATGTTTTAAGAGATTTCAGAGATTCAGTAAATTTTGAATAGGTGAATCATGATGAAATATATTAAATTTAAGTTAGTGAATGTGAATCTGAGGATGAATTCAGAAGTAAGGAAGTATAAGATGCTAAAAACATTCTTAGAGATTCTACTGCTTAATTGAATGTTTGTTAAACATCTAAAATCAGAGCTACAAATTAATAAGAAGTTAATTAACAATAAACATTCACTGCAGAAAAACACTTAAATATGGTTATGACTGCTGCTGAATAAGAGGCAAGTTATTTTAAAAAGAGAGGAAGAGATTATGAAGATGCTCTTCATGCTATTGATGAAGCTTCAGATATTTTGGCTGCTATCTATAGTGGATCAGGAAGTTTTGCTGAAATTAGTAGAGTTTCAAAGGTTATGCTCTAAACATCATTTAGTATTAAAGAAACTGCTAAATTTGCTCCAATTCTTTATGCTTTCTCTTAATTGGCATCATCTAAAGATTTTGATGAAACATCCCTTGAAAGAGTTGCTTAATTATTAGATACTTTGAAATAAAATATTCATGAAGCATATAACGATTATGCTGATTCAAATGCTTAATCAATTGCTGCTTTCAATGATTAAAAAGAAAGAATAGGTTAAACTCTTGCTAGACTATCTGCCTAAGCTGAAAGATTATAAGATAAATTAGATCATTTAGTTTAATGTATTGGAACTAATTCTGCCATTGCTTAAACTGCTTCAGGAAAACTATAAAGAAATTAATAACTTTGGGATTAAGCAACTGCATTATGTGCAACCTTCTAAAATGAATATAATTTTGCTACTTAAGCTAGAAGAAATGAATTATAATTGGTCAGTTAATTAGAAGAGATGGTTGAAGATAGATTCAGTTAGGTAGAAGATGAGAATCATGAAAGAAAAATTAGAATAAGTTAAAATTGATATATAAATTTAATCAAATATAATCATTACAAAAATGATAATATAATATAATTACAATAATTTTTATTACTATTATGAATTATCAAAAGAAACCTAAACCAAAGTTATAGTTAAATGTTGTTATTGCTGATGTTTAACCTGAAAGTACTCATTCTTCTGATGGTTGGAAATAATAAACAAACATATTTTTCCATGAACCTATGTATTATTCAATTCAATAATAATTAGTGATTAGTCCTTATAATTTTCATATAATGGAAAGACAGTTGCTGATGTGGCTTAACTTAAGTGTGGTAGAAAATATCAAGAAGATAGAGTACTTAATCCTTTTAATTTAAGTTTGTTGCTATACCAAATCTAAATCAAAACAAAGAAGTATAATTTTTTTATGCAGTTTATGATGGTCATGCAGGTCATTCTGTATCAACTATTCTCGAAAATAATTTACATAAATATTTATAAGATGAAAATGATTTTAGTGATAATTTAGAAAAAGCAATCATAAATAGTTTTGAGAAAATGAATCAACATATACTTGATAGTTAAGAAGAAAATTAATAGTAAGGTGGTTCTACTGCTATTTGTGTCATTAATAAAAATAAATAAATTTATATAGTCAATTTAGGAGATTCAGCATGTGTTTTAATTAATGAGGAATATGAAATTTAGAAATTGAATCTTGAACATAAATTAAATAGAGAAGATGAATTCAAAAGAGTTGAATAAATGGCAACCATTTTAGATAGACAGTATTTAAATATACTATTTTAGTTCAATTCCAAGAATTAATGGAGAATTAGCAGTAACAAGAGCATTTGGAGATAAAAAACATAGATAAGCAGGTTTAATTGCAATACCTGAAATTAAAATACATCAAATAGATTAAAAAGATAAATATTTGATTTTGGCATCTGATGGTTTCTGGGATGTAATATTATAAAATTATTTAGATTATTAAAAATGATGAATTAAAAAAATTGATTGAAAATTGGAATAGATAAGAAATAGATTAATTAGCATAATATCTTTTAGACAAAGCAGCATCTAAAAATACTAATTATAAAAAAGACAATATGACTTTAATTGTCGTAGATATCTAATCATATTGGAAATGAATGTTCACTAAATATTTATTGTTATTTCTATCTATATTATTTATGTTTATTTTTTTAGATATACAAATTTTTTATATAAATATTATCATATCCATAATTACATATGTATTTGAATATAAATGATGAATTATAAAAGATAATTTAATAATTATTTATATAAAAATAATTATAAAATATTAAATTATATTTTGATTATTTTTCTTTTTTAAATGAGTTTAAGTTATTTATATATTTATGTATTATTGTAATAAAAATATAACAAACATATCTCAAATAAAAAATAGATTTATCAATTAAGTTATCAGATATTCAATAGTATTAAAATATAAATAATTGAAAGTGATATATTTTAGCATATTAAATTTAGATATAATTATAATTATCATTTTATTTCCTCATTTAATTTGTCTTTGAATAATTTAACTATTTTTTCTAACTTTGGTTTTATCACTACTTTACAATATCCTTCATTTTTATTATTATAATAATAATTTTAATGGTAATTCTCTGCTTTATAAAATTCCTAAAATTAGACAATTTCTGTAACAATAGGATTCTTATAGGATTTAGATAGTTCTTTAATTAAATCCATAGCTATTAATTTTTATTGTTCATTATGATAAAAAATAATTGATCTGTATTAATGTCCCTAATCATTACCTTGACGATTTAAGGTAGTTGGATCATGAGAATTAAAAAACACAGTTAGAAGATCATAATATTTAAGCTTCGATTCATCATAAGTGATTTACACAACTTCTGCATGTCCACTATCTCCTCTACATACATCTTTATAATTAGCAGTATTTTTGTTAGCACCACCAGCATAACCTGAATAGACTTCATTTACTCCTTTAATTCTTTTGAATACTGCTTCTATACACCAAAAACATCCTCCTCCAAGAGTAGCTTTATTAATGGTTGTCATTTTAAGAAAATTAATAATCCTAAAATATATATATATATAAATGTTAATAATTCATGCCAAATCATTAATAGCAATTATACTATTAATGAATGAAAGAAATCTTTAACTATAAAATTATGGATCAACACATGAAATTTGTTAACCCTTTCTTTTAACATGAAACTTATAAAAGAATTCTAATTTCTTTTTGAGAGTGAACTTTTATGTATAATCAATGAGACCAAAGCAATAGCATTTATTACTATTACAATATATTCGATTTTCATCTTAGATTTGATTATTACAAATAGCAATAATTAAAGAATAATCCATTATATTATTTTTAAGAAGAAATTCAATATCATCTTTTAGAATAGTAAATAAAGTATCTCTATTTTTCTAATTCAATTATATAAATATATCTGTAGATGTAATAAAGTTTTAATCCTTTAAAACACTCAATGAAGGTAAATATTATGCATATGAACTAGTAAGATCAACAACTTAATTATTTTTGACATTTTATTTTCTATTCACAAGACTTCCTTTTAAATCATATACAACTCTTTCTTTAGGTATTTTTTAAAATATATTCTCCATAAGTAATAAATGAATCTAAGAAAAACCTTCTATGCTAATTGAATATAATCCATAAAATTTAGCCAAAAATGTTTAATCTTTAATTATATATTTATAATAGTCTTCCAAAACTATAAAATTATATAAATAAATAATATACAATCATAAATTAATTTAATTTCTGATTAAGTAATAGTTTTTAATACAAAAACATTATCATAGGTATAGAAAAAGAATGATCCACTTTTACCTAGAGATTCTTGAGTATTTTTAATTTGATCTTAATTATAATCTAACCTTAAAGAATTTTAAAATTATTTATAACATATACCATTTTTCATTCTAATATCTTAAAATATTGCAGGAGCATATTCTTCTATTTAAAATGTTAATGTTAATTCTAATGAATAATTAATTGAATTTAATAAAGGAGATTCTTAATCAATTTAAAATTGCTCATTCTTATTAGATGAATAAGTGAATTATTTCTTGTATTTACATTGTTTATGTAAATCAATAATTCTTTCATCATAACTTACAATTTTTAGAATTGAACTTAAAATATTAGAAACTGTCTCTTAATTAGTTTAAACTTAAACTAACTTATTAAGAGGTAGTTAACATTACTCCATAATGCAATCGTCTACATTTTTACTATAAAAATATCTAACATATTATACTCTTTGTTTTCTTTCCACTTTCTTTTGCAAAAGATTGTTGCAAGTAAAAGTAGAGTTCTACTCTTAAAATAAGGTTCTCGAAGTCGGATCTATAATAAAATGGTGGCTAACTGTAAAAAGTATAATGATACGATGCAATAACATTATGGCTATATAGATTCTATTCATTATTTAATGTACTAAGACATATTCACTAAGAAATGCTATTAATTAAGGTAAACTCCATATTATAAATAGAGTGAAAAATAAGTACTAAATATATATTTAAAAAATAGTATACTAAATGATTATAAAATAATTTTCTCCTATTTTCTTTAACATCAATATTGATTTTGTTCATTCTATTAAGATCCTTTTAACCTACATAAAATGATATAATTAGTAATATAGTTATTGTCAACAACTAAAGTTTAAACACGTCAGAGACATTTCTAGTATTTATTCCTTTACAATTCCCATAGAGAGAGTCCTTCTCAAAATAACACATTATTATAGTAACTAAACATACACCTAAATTATATGAAAGTTGTTTCATTTTAGTATTCAAAAAAGGTTTAGTTAAAGTAAGTATAAAATCTAATGTTAGAATTGCATAATAATTTAGTTATGCTAAGAATCCAAATATTATTAAACTCTGATTTATTGAACATAATGTTTAATCAGATATCTCACCCTAACCAAATAAATAATATTCCCTTATTTTATTATAACCTATTATTTTGTTTAAAAATTCAATTAACTCTTCAAAATGAACACTATCTAAAAACCATTAATAACATGTTATCATTTCCAATATACCTAAAATATAAAAGATCATACATAATATTAGAATAATTTATGCTGGATGATGTCTACATTTAGGTGAATATAAGTAGATTATCGGTATAACTGAAGCTGAACATAAGGAGAAAAAGAGTATCACTACATATATATATTTCCAATGTTTTTCAACAGAATATTGTAGAGAATCCTAATTCATAGAATTCATGGAGAAATATAATTATTATTTGATAAATTAATAATAAAATTTATTAAAATTCTCTAGGTTATTGTTTAATTATCATCCTTACAATATAAATTAATCAATAATTCTCAATTACTTAATTAGTTCTTCTTAATATATAAGATAATTAACTACTCAATAATCTAAATAAATGTATACTTATTAGTAAGTTAACGTTTATTTATATTTTAAAAATCTGAAAATTTAAATGCTATCCTTATTTTTATTGCAATATATTATTTAAATTTTTTCTTCTATTATATAATTATGTTATAAATTATTTTTTTTTTATTTTATATTAATTAAAATCAATAAATTTAGAGTAGTCAGATTTATTTTTTGGTTACTAAATGTATAATTACTCCTAATTTATTAAAGCAAATAACTTGAATGATATATACAAAAATGATTAAAGAAATAAAATAGCTTATATTATATTTTAACCTTTTTACCAACATCATTACTAATGAAATATGATTTAAACTTAAAGGATTAAATTATAATCATCAAGTTAGTTATATTATTATAAAGTAGAAGATTTTATTAAATAAACAATATAAAATCTTCAAATTTAGTGTTTAGCAATTTTAATCGAGATTTAACATTATGTAGGTTTCCCTTAATTTTGCATATATGTATAAATATATGAAAAATCAATAGATTCATATTTAAATTGTAGATATATTTTTAAATAAGATTGTGAAGTGAATGAAATATATATATATAAAATTAGAAAGTATATGAAATTTTTTATTTATTTAAATTTAGATATTAAAATTTAATATAATTTATAGATAAGTAAGATTCATTTAATTCAAGTTGATTCCTTATCGGTCTTTTTTGATAAATTCTTAGAATTTTATAAATAACATCATGGTTATTGGAAACATTAAACCAATAATATGGAATTATACAATAGTGATTTTTTATATTTATTTAATAAATAAATTAACAGATTCATGCCATAAGAAGACATAGTGTAGAAATTATTGCAAAGAATTTAGATTCTTGTTGATGAAGTGGAAACTTTGACTGCATTAGTAGATAGCAATGCTTTAGAATAATAAGAGATGAATTAAAAATATTAGAATTTAATGGAGCTTTATCGATAAAAGGAACTAGAATGTTCTGAATTGTAGAATAAGTTAAATTAATAATTCAGTATTACAATTAGACTTATTTAGGACTAAATGTTAAGGATCATTTGTAATAGATTAGTGAAGAGAGATAACACATAACTTCTTTATTAGTGTAATAAAGAAATGATATACCAGAAACATAAAATCATGCATTATATCAATTATGCTAATAGAAAACTGCAGAGAATTAATTGTTGAGAAATAGATAAGATTAATTAGAATAAGAAAATGCATTTTTACATTCAGAAAATATAAGATTGAGAACTTATATTTAGCATGAAAAGATGTTTAGACAATTAGAATATTTTAATGGGAATTATAATCCATAAACAGTGGCACCTGGATAGAATGTAGAGATTCCTAATATAGTTTTGGATCCTATGTATGAGTAGAAGTATTTATAAGAATATTTACAATCAAGACAAGTAGTTTAGTGAGGAATATTTTTGTGATAATTTTATATAAATAATAATCATATGTTCTTGTAAGCTATGAAATTCAAAGATAATAGGTATGATGAATAATAATAAAGATTGGAGCCTATTTAATTAAAATATAGTCCAAAGGAACCTCGATAACATACTCCAGAAGGTTTAAGTAAGATTGGTTTGTTCAACAGTACACAATTTCATAGAAAATAATCAATTGAAAAGCGTAAACTTAGTAGTCAAGCAGAAGGAAAAAGACCTTAATCATCAATGTAAAGAATACCAAGAACTGCTTTTTTGAAAAATACGTTTGCAACATAATATGTTGTAATAATAATTATAAAAACAGGTAGTTCTTTTGTGAAAATGGAAATAATGGTGCTTTGGTTAGGAGAATCTTATAAGGACGAGGTTGGTTTGCAGAATAATAGACAAGTTTTAAGTAAGTTATAGATAATTATATATAGTGTAAACTTTATATGGAAACAATCAAATAAAGGATTTAATTATTCTACTCTAACTTAGAAGAAAGTATGTATAAATCATTTGGAACATCATCATGAAATTTCAAATAAAAATAAATTACATGATAATCTCAAAATACATTGTTAAAGAATTAATAAAAATATGGATGATTTTGTACCTATAACATTTTCAATAAATTTGGATTCAATGACACTTTAATGGGATCTAAAAAAATTTGTGGATTTTTTCATTTAAATAAAGAAAGAAGGTAATTAAAAGAATGTATGGTTACTGAAACCACCAGATCTTAATAGAGGAAGAGGAATTTAATTATTTTCTGATTTAAGAATGTTTATAAATCAAGTAGAGGAATTCTGTAAAATTAGAAATGGTAATTAAAAAACAAAAAGTTCATCGAAAGGAGCAAGAGGTGTTACAATAACATATCCAGATTCTAATGAAAGTAAACTATTTAATTTATTTAGAAAGAATCTGGTTAAGCTTAGATAAGTTTTACAATTGATTAATCTACTAGTAATGATCGTATTATAGTTTTATAAAAGTATTTAGAAACACCTCTTTTATATAATGGCCGAAAATTTGATTTTCGAATTTGGGTACTAATTGATCATACTTCAAAATACTATTTTTTTAAAGAAGGGTAGAACAAATATAATATTATAGATATCTACGTTTAGCTAGTGAACATTTTGATATTAATAATCTAAAATCTTTATATATTCATTTAACAAATAATGCTATATAAAAGAATCATCCTGGTTATGGGAAATATGAATTAGGAAACCAATTAAGCTTTTAAGATTTATAACATTATTTAAATTAATAAAGAAATACTAAAGTTACTTCAGCTGGAATTGTTGTTAAAATGAAAGAATTGATTCATCAAACAATTTATTGTGCTGGTTCTAAATTGCGTGACAGTTGATATATGTACATTAATTTTTAGATCGCAAGGATTTCCAATTTGAAATATTTGGATATGATTTTATGGTTGATAAAAATGGTCATATTTGGTTAATTGAGATCAATACTAATCCTTGTATTGAAGAGAGCAGTCCACTTTTATAAAAATTAATACCAAGAATGCTAAGTAACCTATTAAATGAGATTTAGATGACGCATTTAGATTAACAATTGATAAAATATTTCCTCCCTTCAAAACTACATAAGAGAACTTTCTTCCAAATTTACATGAATATGCCATTCCTGGATATAGTGACAAAGATAATCTATGGGATTACATGGGATAAATTTGATTTAAAAGACAATAAATAATATCAATACTATATAAAATGGGATTTTCATGTTCTAAACAAAAAGATGATCATATTGATAAAAGAATTGAAACAAAAAAACAAGAGTACAATCTTAAAAGTTAGAGTACCAGTAAAGAAGCAATTGAGTTTATAGAAAGCAACTCATTATCTAATATAATGAGAACTAAACCAATAAAATCTTATTTGGCTGAACAAATTGAGAAATAATAAATTTAGATGGATTCATGTGAAATTTTGGCTGATAGAATAGAGGCTAAATCATAATTAATAATACGAAGCTTTAATCATTTTACTGAAAAAGCTTTGAAGATAAAATCTATAGTATTAGATTATTATCGAAATGAATATGCGAATTATATAAATTCCAATCTTGATACAATTACTAATAAAGAATTTATATAAAAAGAAATGATTTAAGTAAATTTATTGTGATTACAATTCATAGTTACTTGTAGAAACTACAATTATATTGAATTGTTTGATGGATAAGAACTTTGATGATGAAGTTGAACTTTGGTGGGGAAACAATTACTTTAGTGATCGAATCTAACTTTTAGTTCTTAATTTTAATGATTGTTGTTTAGATAACACAGACAATATAACATATCCCATAATACAGTATATAAATGCATTGAAAAATAAAATAATTCATGTGATGCCAGTATAATCTAATCAACCTAAATCAATATCTAATAGTGTTGCTATAACTAATGTTCATCTAACTTAATTCTATAAAGATCTTAAAATGGAATTTGCAAAAAAGGTTGAAGATGAAGATGAAAATGGCAATTTTTGAATAAAGATTATTAATTTATTGTAAGTCTTTATAATAATTCATATAATTAATTCATTATGTTTATTAGTGATTATGATTCTCATGTTAATCAGAACCAAGAATCACTTCTATATTACAGACTGGACATTTTTTATGATTTAAGAGCCATGCTTTTATACATTTTGAATGATATATGTGATTGCATGGTAATTATCTATATATATTTCCAGTTTATATTTGATCATAGCAAATAGTGCAGCTATAAATATATAGAATAAATATATTTTACATTTCTTCCACATTATCATTTTCTTCTTTTGTTTTTTTTGGAATCTCTTTTATTTATAATTTTGTTAATCCTACATTCTAATTCCTTACAATAGTAATTATATAATTACCCAATTCTTTCTTGTAGATTTAAAATTTGTTCATAAGTCATATTGTCAATATTTACATTTAACTAATTTTAAGCTTATTGATTTAAATATTGCATTTCTTATACAATAGATTCATGCATTCCTAATTGTAATAAAATTTATCTTAGTTCCTCTAATTGTAAAAATGGAGCATTCTATTCTATTTTCATGATTTCACATACATTAAGCATCTGTATATCGACCATAAAAGTAATTCAAAGCATCTATTATTCTTCTTTTATACATTTTTTTCTTCTCTCTGCTGCTACGAAATTTGTTTGACACTTGTTGAAGTTTTGTTTATGTATCTTTAACTTTAATCCAATAATCAGAAACAGTCTAAAATTAATTTAATACTTACCGAATTTGCCTTTCTTAATCTTTATTCTAATAACTCATTTTATTTCTTTAACTCTGCTATTTGATTTTAAAGCAATTTTATTTCTGAAGTCTGATCTGCTAGTTTCTATTCCAATGCTAAAATTAATTATTTATGTACTATCTTAAGTAGAAGGCATTTAACTTAGATTATTCTTGAAATTTGGACTTAATTTAAATGTCTAGACTATTTTTTACATTATAATGGAATACTTCTAAAAACTTGTCTATTACTTCCTTTTGCATTTTTTGGTTGTTACTATTCTTTAGCAAACTAAGGAGTTTATACTTTATGACATGATGGTGGTCTGAATATATTACTATTGTTGTTCATATATTATAAAAATTATTTAAAAGCAATTTAATAATCATTACTTCTTTTCACCCTATAAAATACCAACTACCTCAACTAAACTTTCCCGATTATCAACTCCTTAAAATATTAATGTATGAGTGACTGGTTTTCTACACAATAAACACAAATTACTCTTTGACAACATTTATTATGAACATTCCTAACAAAATCCTCCATGACCACAAGGCTAATTAATCATATTACTTTCTTTCTCATAACAAATTAAACATAATTAATTCTATTTAAGTTGTCCTCTACTAGATAACTCTGCACCCATACTTTCACTAACTTCTAATTTTAATCGAGGAGATGACATTAAATGATCAAACCTTTTTGTTAGTTCTTCATCATAATCCTATGATGCTTACTTTTTAATATCTTTGTTTTTCTTAATCTCTGAAAAACTAATTGATCTATATTTCTTATCTTAAGACAATACTGAACCAATCTATTGTTTGTTAGAATCTATTAATTCCTTTTTCTTATAATAAGTAGCAGATAATTTTATCATAAATTAAGGAATTTAGTTTATACTTAATCTATGTATTTATTTTAATCTCTCCTTAAAACTTGTTTATTCATTATTTACTTCTTAACTCTAAGATTAAGTTTAATTTTCTTAAATACTTAAAAATGAACTAATTTTAATGACTAATTTTACATCAAATCTTCCTTATTCTTTATATAAAAGCATAATTCCATTAAGTAATATATAATTGTTACTATTAATCCTCCCAAATTAATTTAAGAAATTTAATAATCCAACAATAATCCTAATCCCAAAAATGTTAACAAAGAAGTCAAAATAATACCAATGAATATTATATTTACCAAAATACTACCATAAACTTATGTTATTATACTCTTACTTATTTGTTTTTTATTTTCTAATTAATTATTGCAACACTTCATTAAAAAATCAATAAATAAACATATTTCAATCAATATCAAAGTACCTATGCTGAACCATACGATAACTAAGGTTTACATCCAGCACCAATTAATTTAATTACTCCATTTCAAACTTAAGAAAACAATTTATAATGAACCTATACACTTAATTGCTGAGACTAACTAACATCATATCATAAGTACTATTTCTTATATTTGCTAGGATTAATCATGTCCTTCACTCTCCAAACTCTATCTACTTATGAGAACTGTAATAGCTAATATCACAAATTATAATATCAGTAAAGTATAACTAATAAAGTTGATATTTATTGGAGAAACTTCTTTGTTATAAACTATTCCCATTAGATAAGTAATTAATAATGTGCTTTCCATTATGGCAAAACAACAATATGTATTGATCCTAATTTAATATTGTACCAGATATACCCTTTACTAGAGAGTAATTTTGAAATCATAAAGGCAAATTACGTTATACAAGCATAAACTATAATAATTTTGTAATCCCATCCAAAACAAACATTTGAATTAAATAAAAAGCAAAATCCCATAAATATAGAAACTAATAACAATATCTTATTCAAGCCAAATATGTTACAGATTATAAATCTTATTTTGCTTTCATTTTCTAAACATCAATATCTGTAGACTATTGCATTCAACAATTAAAATTTAATTAATAATTTTATATTATAATTTCTTCATCATTAAAATATAAAACAAATAAATTATGAAATATATTTGCAATTTTAATTATTTTTAATTGAGTTCATTAAAATTCAAAGCGACTATCAGAATGTTAAATATGTAAAATATTTTTTGATTTTTTTAATCAATTTTAAAAATATCTAAACTTAATTCTTAATAATTAATGTTCCTATCAATATGTACAAGTATATCAATATTCCTTAATTTATTATATTTTAACCCGATAGCGTCATTCAATAAAATAATAAATGTATTGTGTTATATAAATAAATCAAGAAATTACAAAAGATATATTTATTTTAAAAGCATTCTTTTCAGTAAATTATCTAAAAATTATATGAAATTTCTACTTTAAATTTAAATATCTGGATAAATATTAATATTTTAAGTTTCTATGTTTTTATATTCTATCATAAAATTTAACAATAATATTATTATGTTTTTAATATTTATGATTGTAATATATCATTGATCAACTGTTTATATCTCTTTCCATACAATTTCTCTTTACAAATTCTTATCAGGAAATCCTAAATTATATTTTTCACAAATTCCAATAAACTTTTACAGAGCTTCTTAACAATTATTTTAAATGTCTTCTGGATTTTTTTCTCTTTAAATAATTTTTAAAAGTTCAAGAGCTTCTTCTCTAAGCACTTAATCCATCTATCCATCTTCATTTGTAAAAGGAACATAAAATACTTTATTAAATGGTAATTTATCAATCTATATATAATTGATATATTATTACTTAAACTTTGTTAAAGAATGAGAAAAAAAATAATACTACAGATGCTACTTTTTCTTTATTTCCAACTAAAGTTTCATGATTTTCTCTTTTAATAGCTCTTTAAACACATGATACTAAATAAGTTATTGAAAATAGATTATTTCCAAGTGGTTTACCAATTTTAGGTATCAATCCAATTGAAGTAAACTATTTAAAATACTCTTTAACTATGTCTAAAGGACCTTTCAAAGCATTTTCAGGATGATTTTTATCAAAAATGATAACTATAAATTGTTATTCACAAGCTTAAAGATTTTAAACAAAATGTATACATTATGCTTTTTAGCATACAGCCCTTATTTCATTATCATATCTTGTTCTATATTTTTTTCTTGTTTATTAATAAGCATCCTCTTTAGTAACATTTGGATTAACAGCAATGTGTTCATTCATCAATTATAATGAGACTTAATCACTTGATACAATAAACAATTTTGTCTTGCCTTCATGTTTTTCATTATAATATGATTCTATGCTTTCAAATAAAACAGTTTTTCCAGAAGCTGGAATAGCCATAGGAAAGAAAATTAGCACTTTCTTTAATTTCTAAATTTAATACCTTTTATTCCATGAATAATAAAAGAATTAATTAATAAATTAACTAAAAAACAAGTCTATAATATAAATGTGAAATAGTTTAAGAAAAATGATTAATATCAATAAAACTATCAATGGAGACTTATTTAAAAGATAAATTTGCAGTATAAGGAACTTTTTTATCTTCTGATTGCTTTTTAATTTTAACAGAAGGCACTATATACATTTATGAAAGTGAAAAAGTATACAATTAAGGAGAAATTCCATAAGAAATACTAAATCTAAAAATGTATAAAATTTAAATTGCTCAAAAAGAAGGTAAAGTACTTACTTTAGTTAATATAAAGAATTAAGAAAAATAATACGTTTTTTATAGTAATAGGAGGGAATAAATAGATGTATTATCTTATAATATTAACTTAGTGTTGGTACAATATGATGAAAAAATGGAAAGAATAATATGAATAGTTCTTACAAAATGTTAATGAATAAAAAATTAATGTAGTTCCTTTTGAGATGATGGATTTAAAATATTCAATTGATTTAAAAAATGATTCACTTGATTCCGCATTAATTTAATAATGAATCTATTTCATCAAAATCTTTATCAAGATCATTCAATTCTTATTTAATATGTTAATTAAACTCTTATTATTCTAATTATTATTTTGAAATATTTTATTCATCTTTTTAAAATTAATCTAATTCTTATTTAATTTTTTATTTCAAATTAGCTGATACTTAATCATTCTATGGATCTTATTAAATAGATTCTTATTCTTATGAAATTTAATCTAATTCGGATAATTGAGTTTTCCATTAAGTAAGTTTAAGTAAGATATCATCATCTAGTTTATTAAGATTTAATTAATTAATTGGATAGTTTTCTAGATTTTCTAATCTTTGTGAGCTTTCTTATAATTTTTGTGTTATTTCTTAAGTTTTTTATTCACTAGCCATATATTTTGGAATTTTAAGATATTCCTTCATATATTCTTATCTAATCTTTTATAATTTCTTATTTAAATCTGCTTATTATTATAATAATTCTTCTTATCGTGTATCTTCTTCTTCTTCTTCATCAATTTCATATCCACTTTTATATATAATTTTTTTAGTTTGTTAATTTTCCATAAGTTGTTTTTTCAATTCAAGATTTTCATTCTTTTTCCATTCTCTTAAGTCTTAAATAGCAGAATCAATTTCTTCCATTAATAGTTTATTTTAAGTAGAACGTTAAGAAGATGCACTCATAGTCCTTAAAGTTTTGATACTATTGGGATTGAACATAATTTGATAGTAATGTGTTTATAAATCAAATAAAATAATAAAATTATGGATGTCTTGGAGCAGGTCCTTTTTTCATAGTAACATATCTATCAATATAGGATTCAAGTTCTTTTTTGATTTTTTTATCGTTTGCTTTTTCTTCAGGAACATATTCTAAAAGATTGGCAAATTTATTATCATCTTAAAATCGTTATTTAGTTTAAATCAATGCTTATTGGATCTTAAAAGTATTCATCCTATATAGATGATAAGATAAATAGATACTTTTCAAGAAAAAGGTCATATTATTCATTAGCTTTAATGGCTTCATGAAAATAATTATCTTCTTTGCTTCTAGGTAATTATCTAATATGTTTGATTACCTAAATTGGTTATATAATAATTTACTTTTTATTATTTATCTGCAATTATCTTCTTTGTACCAATTCTATGACCAAAGATCATATCATTATTGGGCTGGTTGGTTTAACATTAATGTAGTTTCATTTTTTTATTTATTAAATTAGTTTATGGACTAAGATTACATAATACTCATATTAATTGGATTAGTTTGCATAATTCTACTTGGGATATTGTACTTTATTGTAAGAAAAAAACAAAAATAAATACCAAAGACACAACTCAATAATTCAACTCATATAGAAATAACTTAAATGGATTAAAAACCTTAAAAAAGTAATTAGAGAATGATCAAAAAGTAATTGAAAATTAACATACCTAATAGCTCATTTGACCCTTGATCAATTTTTTATAATATTATAAATATATATTTAACGAATACATGTCTTTTACTTATCTGCCATTTCATAATCTTGCTTACTGTCCAAAGTAAGTAATAGAATTTGTTCAAAATCCAAATCTCAATCTATAAGATTTGAATCATATGATAGAATAATTGAGGATGCCTAAAAATCATCTAAAAGCAATTTAGAAAATGCAAATATTAGCTTCACGGTAAGAATAATTCTTATAGGATGAAAATACAATGCAAAATTAAGAGGAGGAAATCCATTCTCCAAAACAACTCTTAAGTTAAATTCCATACTGAAAACTTATATATATATATTTTATAATAAATTTTAATCATAAAACTTTATATTATCTTTATTTGTTAACTTCAATAACCAAATCACAAATCAAATTATTATATATTAATGGATGTAAACAATTCCAAAAATATTTTACAAAATCAACAATCTATTCATCACTCATTCCATTTCCAGTTTTTATTCTCATCTCTTTTTCTGCCTCTAATCTCCATTTTAAACTTAATTCAAATGGATTTGGTTTTAATTGAATTAATATATCAAATTATTCCCATATAGGTTCATAAAGTTTCAATTATTCATTAATAAAAATTTCCAAATCTTAATCATAATCTTTTCCATCTAATTGTAATTATTTTTCTTTTTATTTAAACTCATATAAACATTTGCTCTTATAACCAACAAACCATCCCTCAAATAATAAAACTTAGCATTTTATTGTTTTCTATCCTACTCTATCTCCTTATCCATTATGCAAACTTTTATCAAATATTGGAACCTCTATACTTTTACCTTCCTTAAATTAACTAAGTGTTTTAATTATCATTTGATAATCATGAGTACCTGGTGGTCCTCTATATTTATACTTTCTTTTATCTAACTTTTCTCTATCTATATAACTCAGATAAAAATCATCTATGCTAATACTATCAAATTGAATATTTAATTATGACAATAACTATTTCATTTGAATTCCAAGAGTTGTTTTACCAACTCCTTACATTCCTTGTAATCCAATCAAAAGAGGACTTCCTTTATATTTTTCTTAAATTAGAACTTAAAGTTGTTCCATTAATTATTAAATATAATCATAAATTGTACTACTGCAAATTTATTTAGAAATTTGGATCAAATAGAGGAATCTCATTAAAAGATTGTTTTTACTCTTAAACATTTTTTTCAATTCTTTTTCTATAAGATTTTGAGGCTGTTTATCGAATTTTCTTCTCCTGAGATAAGAAATCCTAAATCATTTAAATTGCTGATGTACTTTCATTAAACGAGGATGTTCAAACTCTTTTTTATCATTTGCTTCTACAGGTTTTAATTTTTTTATAATCCATTTTGGTCCTGTTCTTTATGCAATTTACTATAAATGAACACCGAATTGTTTTTCTAATACCTTATTCGCCCAACCGGATCCATAAGGATTTTTCTTTGTTTCTCTGTGTACTATAAACTAGATTATTACAGCTAATGCCTACTTTTGTTTGAATTCTCTTTCTTATCACTTTTATTTGAGATTTCTAATTTATCATGATGACTTGATTGTTTCTAACTTTCATTTTCATCTTTTCCTAAAAACTACAATATTGTCAATGGTTCGCTTAATTCTGCAACATATAATTATGATTAGAAAAACAGACTATCTCTTTACTGTTTCATTATTAATAAATACTTAATATTGATAATTCATATATCATTTCAGGATCAGGTGAAGAAATTTATTATTTAACTTAAAACCCAAGCACCTAATAACACAACCCAAAATTCAAATTTAAACAACACATTCTAAAGAGATTATGGCTACTATTATTATTATTGCTATTCTAAAAAGGCCACATCTTCTTAAGTGACTGTACTACCTTAGTTTGATTATAATTCTTTAAATTTAGCAATAACATTATCTCTCTATTGTGTAACATGGTTTAATGAAGTTTTTAAATCTTAAATTTCTTTTGAATACTTATTGGAAGTTTCTTATTAGAAAGTGCATTAATCTTTTAAATTTTACAATTATTGTTCAGTTTCTTTTATTTTATTTATCAAATTCTAAATTGCCTTATTTTATTCCAACTCTTTTTATTCAGCCTATTATTTTTATTAAAATTAAGATTTAGCGAACTCTAGAGCTAATTCTTCTTTTATTTTTTCTTTTTATTAATCCAAAGATTAATAATTGAACTATTAATTTTATTAGGGTTATTCTTATCTTGTTTGATTTTATTTTAATTATTCTAATCTTAGTTATTCCTATCTTTATTATTCTAATCTTAGTTATTCTTATCTTTATTATTCTAATCTTAGTTATTCCTATCTTTATTATTCTAATCTTAGTTATTCTTATCTTTATTATTCTAATCTTAGTTATTCCTATCTTTATTATTCTAATCTTAGTTATTCTTATCTTTATTATTCTAATCTTAGTTATTCCTATCTTTATTATTCTAATCTTAGTTATTCTTATCTTTATTATTCTAATCTTAGTTATTCCTATCTTTATTATTCTAATCTTAGTTATTCTTATCTTTATTATTCTAATCTTAGTTATTCCTATCTTTATTATTCTAATCTTAGTTATTCTTATCTTTATTATTCTAATCTTAGTTATTCCTATCTTTATTATTCTAATCTTAGTTATTCTTATCTTTATTATTCTAATCTTAGTTATTCCTATCTTTATTATTCTAATCTTAGTTATTCTTATCTTTATTATTCTAATCTTAGTTATTCCTATCTTTATTATTCTAATCTTAGTTATTCTTATCTTTATTATTCTAATCTTAGTTATTCCTATCTTTATTATTCTAATCTTAGTTATTCTTATCTTTATTATTCTAATCTTAGTTATTCCTATCTTTATTATTCTAATCTTAGTTATTCTTATCTTTATTATTCTAATCTTAGTTATTCCTATCTTTATTATTCTAATCTTAGTTATTCTTATCTTTATTATTCTAATCTTAGTTATTCCTATCTTTATTATTCTAATCTTAGTTATTCTTATCTTTATTATTCTAATCTTAGTTATTCCTATCTTTATTATTCTAATCTTAGTTATTCTTATCTTTATTATTCTAATCTTAGTTATTCCTATCTTTATTATTCTAATCTTAGTTATTCTTATCTTTATTATTCTAATCTTAGTTATTCCTATCTTTATTATTCTAATCTTAGTTATTCTTATCTTTATTATTCTAATCTTAGTTATTCCTATCTTTATTATTCTAATCTTAGTTATTCTTATCTTTATTATTCTAATCTTAGTTATTCCTATCTTTATTATTCTAATCTTAGTTATTCTTATCTTTATTATTCTAATCTTAGTTATTCCTATCTTTATTATTCTAATCTTAGTTATTCTTATCTTTATTATTCTAATCTTAGTTATTCCTATCTTTATTATTCTAATCTTAGTTATTCTTATCTTTATTATTCTAATCTTAGTTATTCCTATCTTTATTATTCTAATCTTAGTTATTCTTATCTTTATTATTCTAATCTTAGTTATTCCTATCTTTATTATTCTAATCTTAGTTATTCTTATCTTTATTATTCTAATCTTAGTTATTCCTATCTTTATTATTCTAATCTTAGTTATTCTTATCTTTATTATTCTAATCTTAGTTATTCCTATCTTTATTATTCTAATCTTAGTTATTCTTATCTTTATTATTCTAATCTTAGTTATTCCTATCTTTATTATTCTAATCTTAGTTATTCTTATCTTTATTATTCTAATCTTAGTTATTCTTATCTTTATTATTCTTATCTTAATAATTCTTATCTTTATTGCTCTTATCTTAATAATTCTTATCTTTATTATTCTTGTCTTAATAATTCTTATCTTTATTATTCTTATCTTAATAATTCTTGCCTTTATTATTCTTACTTTAATTATTCTTATCTTTATTATTCTTCTTACTATATCTATTAATCTCTTCTTTACTATTAAAGTAATTCCTATTATTATTTTTATTGTTTTTCTTCTTATTCTTTTTACTATTACTAAAAATAATATATATATATTATTTACTAATCTTTATTAATACTCTATTTATTGCTTAGCTTCAGCTAATAATTTCTATTTTAACTCTTCCTCTCTTTTTTATGCTTCTTCTCTTTCCTTTAATTATTTTTTTCTTTATTCTTCTTATTATCTTAAAAATTCTTATTGCTATTGAAGTTATTTTTATCTTAAATCTTCTTACTACTTTTTAGTTATTTCCTAAAGCTTTTCTTATTCAAGTCTTTTTCTCTAATTTTCATCATCATCATTTTATGCAAATATTTGTGTAAATTTCTAAATGTCTTAAGGTGTCATTTCTGTACCAATTATATATTACAATTATGTATAGCTGCTTTATAAAAACTCAACCTATCAAATGGATATTTTATCATACACTATCATTATCCAACTCATCCTCAAATATTAGGTACCATACATTATTTACTTACTTAATTTTAATCACTTTTCCAATCATTTTAACCTTCTGTAATAATTCATTCTCGCTAATTGTTGGTGGTAAACCCCAAATTTTAAGATAATTAGATGTTTAATCCATAAAATAATTTAATTATTAATAGAGATACTTTTAAATCAATTTATTTCTAATATATTAAGTCTTAAGTGATTACTCCTTGTCCATTTATCCTACTATCTTTAAAACTAGATTATTCCATCTATAATTAAAGGGAAAATAATCAATCTATTTTATTGAAGTAGTTAAGATAATAAAACTTTACAAAATCATAATTGTGAGATGTTTATCATAAATAATAATAAAATACAACTGAAAACTTAAAGTGATTCTCAAAGAATTATAAGAAAATTGAAAAAATTTAGAAATTAAATATGATAAATTAGTAATAACTATTAGAAATTGAATATATCTATAAATATTAACAAACTCATATAATTTCTATAAGAAATATCTATATTAGTGTATTCTGAATCAAAAAAAGTAGGTCATAAAAGAAAATAAAGGAATAAACTAAAAATGAAAGAAAAAAAGTATAGTAATAAAGAACTTTACATGTCTTTAAAGATTAGATCAGATTTGAGTAAAATAAAATTATTAAACTGAAAGATAGATAAAAAATAAATAGAAATGAATTAATTTTCTGTTAAATTAAAATTTGAAATTTAAGTAAAAAAGCCTCGGATTTAAATAATGATAGACAAGAACCAAATATATTGTTAATGAATATAATTTAAGAATAGAACACATACAAGAAGTTGACTAGACATATTGGATATTATATCATAGACTTAAGAAATTATTGATGAAAAAATTTTAAATTATCAAATGAAAATGTGCCAAATTGCAGAAACAAATATCATAAACAATAGATAAGTGTCAGAATTTGAAATATATCAAAAATGAAAATGAATATGTATACTTTACTATGACTTTTGTTATAATAAGAAATAAGTTAAATATTAAATTTAAATACATAAATGAGACCATCTTTCGGAAAAAAAGTAAAATAAGACGATTCTGATAATAAATTTAGAGAGAAGGTATATCGCTCTATGTATCCATCTCCTTGTTCGTCATAGTAAATATATATTTTTGATATTGTTAGTGATCCAAACAAATGGCTACAAAATAATGATATCTCATGGTTGTCTCATTCATTAGAATAGGACATTGATAAAATCTTATAAATTGCTGCTCCATAACCAATAAAACCACAAAATAATCGAAGAGCTAGTGCAAACGATATTAGGGAAGAATTTGATGACAAAATAGGAAAATAGAAGAGAAACACTTGGTATGTTGACAAGCAGCATGAAGATTAACCTAAAAATAGTAAACTCAAGATAAATATGAGTTCTATAATTTGTGAATTCCCAATTTAAAAAGTTTCGCGGTAATCAATATCAGATCAACCTAAAACACCAAATTGTTAAAAATCTTTTATGGAAGCCATTATATAAAGATATTAGCAATAAAATGAATAATTATAAGATGATTAGTTTGAAAAAGAAAAAAAATATTTATTTTAAAGTGATAAAAAATAATAAATAATTGAACCTGAAATTTATGACAATTAAATAGATGATAATGTATTAAATGAAGAAGAATAATAAAATATATCGATTACTGAATAGAATCCTATATAATAAAAGAATAAAAAATAGACAAAACCTAAAAAAGTTGGTAGAAAAAAGAAATCAATTATGCCAGCACCTAAAAGAAAATATAAATAAACTAAAAAATAAGAAAGAATATAAGAATTACCTTAACCAGCATAAACTGAATTATATTAAGAAAAAACTAAATATATAAGACCATCATAAACTATAGATTAACCTATATTTAATACAAAATAATGTTGGGCTAGAATGTAATTTAGAAAGGAAGCCAAAAAATACGAGAAATATTAAACATAAGAATTTAAAGATTTATTACATTCTTTACCTGGTTGTTATATTCATAAATGTGAAGGAGATTTGAGAATAGATAAGATAAGACCAATGTAAAATGCTAAAGGAAAATTCTTTTAATCATTTGAAATGTGGATAAATCCATTAGTACTAATAGGTCCAATCAAAATGAATAATTCAGTTAAATTAGTAAATATAATTATTAATATTAGCATGTAAGATTTAAAAAGGGATATTCAGGATAAGTATATTGTGACAGTGCATTATAAGAAACTTTACCTTTAAATTAAGTTGATGGAAAAACATTTCACAAATAAAAATTAATGCTTGCTAATAATTCTGATCATGTTATTAAATTGGTCTGTTGTTTAGTTAATATATCAATTAGAGGTCCATCAAAAAGATGTAAATGAATAATTAGTATTATAATTCTTAAGTTTTTTTTTTTAAATTATCAATTTTTCAATAATAAATTAATATTTTATAATCATAACATATATATTATTTATTCATATTTAATTAAACATTATATATTTCTACTGAAAAATTGTTTAATATTAAAATTTTTATTTAACTCAAAAATAGTTGTAATTATTTATTTTCTTAAAATTTCGAAGTAAATGAGTCTTAGATTAGAATTATTAAGGTGGGTAAATGAAAAATGTCCATCAATGAAAGCAAGTAATATTGAAAGCCTTTCAGATGGAAGACATTTCTTATTTTTATTAAGAAAATACTTCCCAGAAATAGAAGTTCCTTAATTTAAAAAAAGTTCTTCAATTGTTTAAAAAATGGAATCCTTAAATCTTGTAATGTTTTATTGTTAAAAATTGGATGCATCATTCAAAATAGATATGCTTAAAATAGCAAACAAAGAATCAACTACAATTTTAAATTTGATAAAATTTCTCAAATCAATTCTAGATAAAACACCTATTAAAATTTCATTTATTTAAGAAGAATTTTAAACTACATTAAAAGTAAAAGAAAAAGATAATCATGAGATTTGTGAAGAAATTGTTATTCCTTAAGTATAATAAGCATAAGATGATGAAACTTAAACCCCAGAAATTTAAGAAGATTAGGTTCCATTACATAAATTTTAATTTTAACTTAAAAGACTTATGTCATTTAAATTACAACATCCATTTTTAGAATTGGAACTTCTTAGATTGTTAGAATTTGATTAAGAAGTTGCTGAAATGATATAACATTATTAATTAGCAGCCTAAAAAAGAAGTAAGAATTCAAAGCATACTGATTATCATTCAATTAATAGTAGTTAATTTTATAATAGAGGAGAAGCCAATTTACTTGATGTAGATTATTCATTCGATTAATAATATGCAAGTAAAAGAAGTATGGAATTTGATAATTTATTTTAAATGAGTGATGAAAAGTTTAACTTTTGATTAATCAATAAATATAAAGTTTAAATTGTAATAATGTTCATTACTTTTAATGTATCAAAATTAAATTTATTTTAATAGGAATAATACAAAATTTAATGATTCATTTCTTTTTTATCTTCTATTATTCTCTTCTATTAATGCTTTTTGACTTTGTTTTATTTTATTTAATACCTAATGAAGTCTAGAATCTAGTTTTTATAATTTCTTGTTATTCAGAATTATTTTTTTGGTCTTCTTTCTTTAATTGATTATTAGAATTATTTTAAATCAAATTTTTGTTCTTTTTTTATCTTTTTTTTAGTTCTTTTATAGTTGAAATTTCAATTGATTGATTAATTTTTGGGTTAATTTTATCTGTGCTTTATGAAAATTTAGGAGGATTTTTTTTATTAGTTTATAAAAAATTATCACTAAATTATTTGATTTCAGTGGCTAGTTCTTCTTGATATTAAAAGGGTTTACTTATTTCTCCTTTATTTTCAAGAACATTAGAATTCTATTTAATTTTTCTACTTTTTGATCTAGTATGAGTTTATTTTTTATTTTTATTTTTAGTAATAGATTGATTAAATTCTTTTATTTTAATTGGTACTACTTTTTGTTGAAGTAGTTTAAATAAAACATTTTCTTTTTCTTCCTCATTTATCTCAAGAGAAGCATTTAGTTATTTATCTTCTTCATCTTAATTTTCTTAGCTTTACTATAAAATATGATTTTATTGGAATTGAAGTTGAACAAATTAATCCTGTGAATTGTCGTATAAATCTATTTATTATTGAGTATTTCCAATATTATGGATTTCCAATTAATAAATGCTATTTTCATCTTGTTAATTAAATTCTATCTAATTAATATTATCATCAGATTTGAATATAGGTTAGATATCTTAATATTCTGAATAATCATTTGTCATATAATTATAATGATGTTCTATTGGATTTTGAAATGATTAAAAGAATTATGATTTCTATGAAATTTCTTAACTTCCAATACAAACTTTTTTTGAAATCATGTCTATATCAGATTCTAAGGCAACAGATAAATCATTTGGATTAATTACAATATATTATTGCTCTTATTATCTCTTAATGAATGCTTCATACACTTTAGGTTTGAATCTCGACATAAAATATTCTCTTAAATTTCGTTTCTCATTTAGATATTATTCTTTAGTAATAAACCCTGCTAATTTAGCTTATTTTAATTTATCTAAAGATTTGCTGTATAGATATTCAAGGCATACAGCTTTATGAAAAAGCATTCCAAAAATACCTAGTTCTTTTAGACACCATAAACACTTTACCATAATTTTTTATTTAAATTCTTAAATGATACATATATTATAAAATGAAATAGGTCTTGAATTATTTTGTCAAATTGAAATTTTTAATTTTACTTAAGAAATATATTTAATAAATAATTATTTAATAGAAATAATAATAATAAATTGATATTAGATTATATTTCTAAGGATAATAATGTAATAATTATAGAATAAATAGTTATTTTATAGGTAATGATTACATTCATTAATTTAATAATATTAGCATAGCAGTCATGTTGTCACAACCATATCCAGTAGAAGTGTCAGCAGCTAAAGAAGTATCAAGTAATTGTTCCAAAACAATGGAAGGTTCTTGTTTCTCAGCTACACGTGCAGAGATAAACTCCATCACTTTATAACTGTTTTAGGTTTCGAATACACCATCGCATCCCAAAAAGAGAAAGCTAATAAAAATTAGATTATAGTAAATTACCG